GCCCCCCGACCCTGGTCCCAGAGCTTGGCCAGGTCCTCTCCCTCCTCCCATCCCAGTGCTTAGCTGGGCCCTGCCCCCCGACCCTGGTCCCAGAGCTTAGCCGGGTCCTCTCCCTCCTCCCATCCCAGTGCTCGGCTGGGCCCTTATGCCTCCCCCCACCCGTCCCTGTGTTTGGCCAAACGTCTTGCCCTCCCAGTCCCAACACTTGGCCGGGCCCCTCCCCTGGCGCGAGGTGGGGCAAGCAGCCCAGCGCCCCAGGTCTGTGCCTGGCCTGGTTCTAAGCTCTCCTAACCCCATCCCCTGCCCCAGCCTGGTCCATGGGCTGCTTGCCGTAACCAGCCTGCAGCTCCGGGATTCGCTCCCCTTCTCACCTGGCCAGGCCGGGGCTCTAGCTGCCAGTGGGTCCCTGGCCGGGGTGGGCAGCCCCCTCAGGGGGCAGCTGGGCCCAGGGAGAGCGATGCAGGGTCTCTGTGGGGCTCCCTGAGGCTGATGGCTGGCGCTGACGCAGGCTGTGGCAGGACTCGGGCGCAGGCGGGAACTGGGGCTGCTAAGCTCAGGGACCCCCACGTGGGGGGCGGGGATGGGGCTGAGCCTCCTCGCCACGTGCAGGGCTCGGCCTCACCAGCTCTCTGGCCAGGGCGGAGGAGAACATTGTGCCGGCGGAGATGCCGATGGTGCAGGAGATCACCACCACGCTGCGGGAATGGGCCACCATCTGGAAGCAGCTCTACGTGGTGAGCCTGGGGCCCAGCAGTAGGGAAGCCCCAGGGACTGGCCCACCCCCTGGGGATGGGCCACCAGCCCTCGGCACAGGAAGGGGAGGGGGATGCACAGGTCAAGCGCCAGCCTTTGGGATGGGGGCTCTGGGAACCATGCGGGGTGGGTCCCAGGCTGAGTGCTGTGAAGTCAGAGATGGGGGCTGTGGGAACCGCGGGGGGGCTCTTTGGGATGGGGGCTGCAGGGGCTGTGAGGGGTCAGGGATGGGGGCTGTGGGAACTGCGGGGGTTGGCCTTTCTGGGATGGGGTCAGCAGGGGTCAGGGAAGAGGGGCCACGTGGATTGGGGCTCTCCACTGCGAGGGCTGCGGGTGATCAGCTCTCTGGGATCGGGCATGACTCTTGCCCCCTTGTTGCCCTGCAGATGGGGCAGAAGGAGCGATACGGGCAGGTCAGGAGGATGATGTGTGAGCTGATGGAGAGGCGCTCGCAGCTGCTCTCTGGGACACTCCCCAAGGATGAGCTCCTGGAGCTCAAGAAGGAGGTGACCAGCAAGATCGACTACGGGAACAAGTGAGAGCAGGAAGGGGGCGGGGAAGGGTGGGGCTGTGATGGGGGGCCAAGGCAGGGGCATGGGCCGGAGAGGGGCTATAGGCAGGGGGTTGGGACTGGAGAGGGGCTGTAGGCGGGGGCAGGGTGGAGCCGGGGAGGGGCTGTAGGCAGGGGCAGGGTGGAGCCGGAGAGGGACCAGGGATGAGCACTAGTACGTGACGTGGGTGCACTGGAGAAAGTGAGAGCATGGGGAATGAGACAGCCTGGGTGTGCGAGGCACACAAGTGTGCAAGCAGCATAGTGTGAGCGAGGACCCAGGGGGCAGGGAGGGCCCTGCAGTGCGTGGATCAGGAACAGTGAGGGGGTTGGGGGTCACCCGTAGTGACCCCTGGCATGACCCTTGCTGCAGTCCTGGGTGAGGCCCCTTCCTGCCCCAAGGTGGGCACCTGCTGGGCCTGCAGGCTGGATCCACGGCCAGGGACCGGAGGGGCTGGGCGTTCGCTCCACGACAAGGTGGCTGGGTGCTGCTCTGTGTGTGGCTGGGCTGGGCCAGAGGCCTTGGAGAGTCCAGGTCCCTGCCCCATGCCTGGAGTCGTGTTCATGCCCTGTCCTGTGCTCTGCAGGATCCTGGAGCTAGACCTGGTTGTGCGTGACAAGAACGGGAACATCCTGGACCCCGACAGAACCAGCATCATCAGCCTCTTCCAGGCTCACAAACAGGCCACAAGCATGATCAGTGAGCGCATCCAGGAAGAGATGGTGAGCACCCAGCCCTGGCTCCCTCGCCCAATCCCTCCTCCCGGACTCTGCCCCACCCCATGCTAACAGGTGTGCTGGCCCTGCCCGGCTGAGAGGCACTGCCCACGGGAGTCCATACACAGAGAAAGGGAGTTCCAGCCCCCTGCCAGGTTGGGGGTCTCCCTGCCCCACCCAGGCCCCTGCGCTGAGCTTCAGGCTATCCTGCTGCCCACCACTCCGGGCCTGCTCCAGGCAGGAGCCAAGCAGGTGGGAGTCCTTTTGGCCTTGACCTCCGCCCGTCTCCCCGCAGTGCTCCCAGCACACCGAGCTGGGCTGCAGTGCCCACCTGGCCTCGCCCTCCCACAACCTCTACCTCTGCGTCCGCAACTTCGTCTGCAATATCGGGGAGGAGGCCCAGCTCTTCACGGCGCTCTACGACCCCGGCCAGCAGAAGATGATCAGGTACCGGCCCCCAGGGAGGGACACAGGGGCTTTAACCCAGCTTTGGGGGCCTCACCCGGAGAGCCCCGGACCAGGGCTGCTGCTCTGATGGGACCTGGCTGACTCCTGAGCCTTGGCCCACGGGAAGTTGCCAAGTGACCTGCCCCTGGGTCAGTGGCCCGGGGGAGCCTGGGTCAGGGATCCCAGCGCCTGGCACTATGGAGTCAGCAGTTTCCAAACCAGACCTGGAGCAACAGCAGAGCCGCTGCCCTGAGCCGTGTGAGCCCAGATGGCTTACCTGGGACATCGCTCACTGGCCGATGACTTGTCTCCTCTCCCCCACCCCTGCCCACTGACCGGCTGGTGATAACCAGCCCTCCCCTTCCCGCCACTGACCAGAGATAACTCACCCCACCCTCCATTGACTGACCAGTAGGGTTGCCAACTTTCTAATAGTACACAACCGAACTCTCGTTCCCCGCCCCTTCCCTGAGGCCGTGCCCCTTCTCAGATGCCCCGCCCCTTCTCAGAGGTCCCGCCCCCACTCCCTCTATCCCCCCCTCCTGCCCTCACTTGCTCTCCCCCACACTCACTCACTTTCACTGGGCTGGGGCAGGGGGTTGGGGTGCAGGATGGGGTGAGGTCTCCGGCTGGGGGTGTGGGCTCTGGGGTGGGGCCAGAAATGGTCATTCAGGGTGCAGGAGGGGGCTCAGGGCTGGGGCAGGTTGTGGGAGGGTTGTGGGAGGGGGTGAGGGCTCGGGGAGGGAGTTTGGGTGCAAGAGGAGGTGCGGGGTGCAGGCTCTGGGAGGGGGCTCAGGGCTGGGGCAGGGGGTTGGGGAGTGGGAGGGGGTGAGAGGTCTAGGCTCTGGGAGGTAGTTTGGGTATGGGAGGGGGTGCGGGGTGCAGGCTCTGGGAGGGGGCTCAGGTCTGGGCCAGGGGGTTGGGGTGCAGGTGGGGGGTCAGGGGTTTGGCAGGGGGTTGGGGTGTGGGCTCTGGGAGGGAGTTAGA